AGAAATAGTGTAACATATGTCATTCTAAGTTGTTCTGCCTTGCATGACTTACCGATAAAGATTTTTCAAACCACGAATCAACAAAAAGTTGAAGTTGTTCTTTCAAAGCTTCGACACTTTGTTTGAATTCTTCATAGTCCGTATCAAACTGCAACGAAAAAGTTCATCATTGTATTGACAGTGACGTGTACCGGAGTTTGAACCAAACAATCGAGAGTGGTTGCCGACTTATTTTATCACCGTACCTCTCCCTTGCGATGATCTAACAGATCGTACGTCTTTTTCTTAACTGTGGCAACCATGGTTTGGTATCTGACCACTATCGTTTCAATTCCCTAAGAGATAAATTTGTATTAATCTTACTGCAAAAATGCCCAAGACTTCTTGTTTGAAGTCAACAAAAATACATACTGTACCTCAATTTTTATTTTCTGAAGTCCAGAAAGATTCTCCATCGCTATCAGCATGTCGTCGAGTTTCTCAAGTCGCTTACAAAACGCATCAAACTTGCCAAATATATAATTCTCACTACAGTAAACACCATAAATTATTAATCAGTATCACTTACTATAAATGGGCTTACTAATTAAATACTCCTTTTCGATATAATAAATTATTCACAATATACCTGAATTCAAACTGTCTTTCACTCTGAGTCTCTTTCAGCTTGTTTTTTGTTCTGTGGAAAGCTGTCTGATAAACTTCATTAAGTTTTACTGCTTCTTGCAATCTTGATGACAGTGTTTCTCTAAAGTACAGTACGTAATAACTAACGGTTAGACCGTACTGTACAAGGGCAGATACAGTAAACCTTTAAGATACTGGGCATGCTATTGAACATATGATCTGATCCTGTACTGTACAGTACATGCTGCTGAAATGAATATGGTTAGATCATGCAGAGGTAGATGTTCTTGAATATGGGCAACTCTTAAGCCCAGGGCAAACTAGGAAACATTGTTGCGGAAACATTAACTGTTTCCTACCAATGTTTCGCCATGTTTCCCAGAGTGGGCAAACACTAGGAAACATTAGTGAGAAACATAGGGAAACATCAAATGTCTCTGAATTTGGTAGGAAATATTTTTGTTTCCCGGGAAGCAAATTTTGTTTCTGCAACAATGTTTCCACGGGTGGGCAAACATGGAAACATTTGAGGAAAAATCGATAATCACAAATGTTTCTGCAACAATGTTTGCTAGTTTGCCCGTGAGGGCTTTAATTAGACAGGTTCAAATTTCACTTCCACTACCATTTCACCGGCTCAGTACACATTTGATTGGTTGTGTTAGACAAGATGCATTCTGATTGGTTAGTGGAAGTCTTGTCACACCTGAAGCTCTGTACTGAAGAAAATTTTCTTCTGTGCTCTCTCCCACCTTGCACTGATAAGTTACATCATGCCAAGAGTCATGATGTAACTTAGCAGTTAGTCATAGTGTAACTTAGAAGATCATGCCAAGAGTCATGATGTAACTTAGCAGTTAGTCATAGTGTAACTTAGAAGATCATGCCAAGAGTCATGATGTAACTTAGCAGTTAGTCATAGTGTAACTTAGAAGATCATGCCAAGAGTCATGGTGTAACTTAGCAGTTAGTCATAGTGTAACTTAGAAGATCATGCCAAGAGTCATGATGTAACTTAGCAGTTAGTCATGGTGTAACTTAGAAGATCATGCCAAGAGTCATGATGTAACTTAGCAGTTAGTCATAGTGTAACTTAGAAGATCATGCCAAGAGTCATGATGTAACTTAGCAGTTAGTCATAGTGTAACTTAGAAGATCATGCCAAGAGTCCTGATGTAACTTAGCAGTTAGTCATAGTGTAACTTAGAAGATCATGCCAACAGTCATGATGTAACTTAGCAGTTAGTCATAGTGTAACTTAGAAGATCATGCCAAGAGTCATGATGTAACTTAGCAGTTAGTCATAGTGTAACTTAGAAGATCATGCCAACAGTCATGATGTAACTTAGCAGTTAGTCATAGTGTAACTTAGAAGATCATGCCAAGAGTCATGATGTAACTTAGCAGTTAGTCATAGTGTAACTTAGAAGATCATGCCAAGAGTCATGATGTAACTTAGCAGTTAGTCATAGTGTAACTTAGAAGATCATGCCAACAGTCATGATGTAACTTAGCAGTTAGTCATAGTGTAACTTAGAAGATCATGCCAAGAGTCATGATGTAACTTAGCAGTTAGTCATAGTGTAACTTAGAAGATCATGCCAAGAGTCATGATGTAACTTAGCAGTTAGTCATAGTGTAACTTAGAAGATCATGCCAAGAGTCATGATGTAACTTAGCAGTTAGCAGTTAGTCATGGTGTAACTTAGAAGATCATGCCAAGAGTCCTGCATGCATGCATGCATGCATGATAAATCCATACCTTGGTAAATCCCAGATTCTGCTCACTCCTTTGTTGATATATGCTTTGCATGTTGAAATCATCTGATTGGTTACTTTAACAAACAGTGAAGTCATGCGTTCTGATGTGTTGTAATACTGAGATATGGTATGAATCATACGGATTGAGTTCATCAAACTGGGAACATATTCTGTCATCTCAGTCTAAAACAAACAAACACAAAAGATCAGTACTATATAGGATCAATTTTCATCTGAACAAAGCAAATCCTAAATCCTAATCCCAATCCTAGTATTTGTGATCGAGAGCTGAATGTTTCCACTGAATGTATTGTCAGCAAACACAAGACCACCACAATTAGTGCTCGACATCATCACACTTTATAAAACACCCCAGACCTATATATACACAATATACAGTATTATTAAAAGCGCTGCTGTGAAAATTGCTTACGGGTGAACATTTCACCAAAGGACCAAAGAATTTATCCAACGTATACAGATACTTGACGTTATCCTTTGCCTCGTTCGCAGCATCTGTAATACGGCTGTCCTATAATAAACATGAAATGTTATCATTTAATACTTGAGATAATTAATGTTTCTTAATAGACAGATATTATAATTATAGATGTAGAACCATGCTTATCTATAATACTTACAAGATCTTTCCAGTGTTTCAAACTCTTAGACTTTGCTGCATGAAGGACACCAATTGCTGCCTTGCAGTGACGACTTTTAATTTCATCCAGCAAACTAGACGTTTGGGTAATAAATAAAGTCTAGTTAATTTAAACTGATCGAAAACACACTGCATAAAATTTGAAGAAAACATTCACAAGGCTAAGTAATACAAAACAGCACACAGTTATTACCTGTTAAACTTTGCCATTCTCTGCTTCCAGTGATCAAGTTCAGCAGCTGGCCCAATATCATCAGCCTCTTTTCGAAGCTTTACAATGAAACAAGAAGAAAAACAAGTTTACTAGACTTACGCCTATATTCTGAAAGCGCACTCACACTCAAAGAATGGATTCAACCTGAGCTTCTCTTGAGCGTCAGTGCTGTTTTTGAATAGCTGGAGGGTAAGTATAGTCACAGAGTAAGTTACGACACCAACCCTTCAGCTATTCAAAAACAGCATTGACATTGACAACAGAAGTTCAGATTGAACCTCCACTCTTTGAGTGTGAGCTTTTAGAATACAGACGATAGAATATTACACATTTATCACACAATCAAAGTTTCTTTCAAATTATTACAATCAAAGCAAACAAAAACCTCTTTCAATATTTCATATTTCACATAATGATTAGTACCTGTTCGCTCTTGGCCAAAACCAATTCGATTTCTTTCGCCCACAATACAACAAGACCCTCCAGTTTGTCAACTGTCTCAGGACTTTTGGCTAAAAACAATTAAGTGATGGTATAATATGGTAAAACTTCATTTCACTACAGCTGATTTCCCTGAGGGGCAACTAGATTTTAAGAAATAAAAGTGCCTCAATACCCACCTGCAGCGAGATAGTCAGCAGGAGTGTTCAAACCATCCAGTAACTCTTTAAGACCATGTTCACCAAGTTTCACACGGCCATCCATGTTGTTCTTTGCGCCAGATAAAATGTTTACGAATTTCTCGAGATTTTCCAAGAACTCTTGAATGGATGACTGCTGGTTAGACATTTGACCCCATTGCTGTGAAACAAAATCAAACAAATCATATTACGTTAATTAACTTTAGAACAGTACCACATCAAGAATTCACTAGCGCCATAGTGGTGGCTATGTACCTTTTGATTTCTCAAAGCTGGCACCATTATTCGTCCAAGAAGTTTTTCAAATCCTTCCAGAAGACGACCATCTGTTGCATCAAGCATCATGAAATTCACCTCCTACAAAATTAGAAATGTCATTATAAATATATTTATTTTATTTTATTTTATTTTACAAGATTCGCCAAACATAACAGACATAAATAAGACTAATACTTTACAAAATTTACATACAATTCGGGCAGGGACTAGCCACAGAGATAATCTCCAATTATGGGGCCCCTCACAATAAGTTACAATATATAACATTAAAACAAATTATGCTAAAATGTCAAAATAATATACATAGTATTTATGTGCATCAGGGTCTAACTGCTATGTAGTTTTGGCTACCTGCCTGCATAAAACTAAAGTGAAACATACAAGTATGATATGTTACAACAGTTACGTACCTGGCCCACATTGGATACAGAGACGGCTTTTGGATTAGTTCGAAGGAAAAATAAACAAACACCATTGACATGCTAAAAAACAGAGAATTTAGATAACATTATTGTTCTTATGGTATATACAGTATTCTCTCTCAACAAGTTATATTCTCCAATGCTCTCTCAACAAACCTCATTAGCACGGTCTGCAATGAATAACTTCTTTGGTGAATTGGCAGCCTGGCCACTTAAATCTGGTCGATTAATCTAAAAGGATATTACATAAAACATATTGCTTTACACATATCAATATCGCACAATTACTGTACAAGTGAATGGTGACAATACGATGGTTGCTTGTAACGTTACCTGCAGTGACGATGATGGTGGTCATGTACTGTAACAGTAAGTGATGGTGATGATCGATGCATGGTGATAGTGACAAGGATGGTGGTTGTGACGATGGTAGATGATGACAGTGATTGATGGTTGAATGGTTATATACATTATGGTTGTGGTGATACCTGAAATGTAATGGGAAAATAATAATTATGGTACTTACAGCAGATTCTTGATAGAGGAACAGGATTGCTCTTGAACCATCAACCTTGAAGAACTCCTCAATATCATCAAACTAAAAGACAAAACCAAATATGCATGCACAGTTAGGAGCACTTTGCTCAGCCTATATCAATCTTTGTTCTAATCAGTGTTCCCGGTGTTCCTGCCGCTACTATTTTAGCCTGTTACTAGTAAATTGAATTAGATGCATTAGTTATTATTAATAAAGTTACAGTTATAGATATATATATGGTAATGCACCTTTTGATCTCCTAATATAAAATCTTCAGCGGTTGTGGCATCAACACCAATTGCATCGGCAATCTAAGAATGAGATGAACTTAACATTAAGCACATGCATCCCCAAAATACATGCATTGAAAATTGCAATCACGGAAACCCTGGGCATATATACAGTATGTGACACCTCATCTATATGCAAAAGATTGAGTAAATCTTTAATGGCTTTTAAAAGGTTTGCATGGCCACAATTATAATGATTTCATGATTATTTCCAAGTATCAGATTTTCAAACACAGGCTCAAGCGTGTTTTCCACAAGGCGAATTTAGTCGCATGAAGCAACTTTTTCTTTTGTCTAATATGTACATTGCTTATCATGTCAGCAAAAGTGATGCATACAAGGGAATTAAAAAGTCTCTTCACAAGTTAGAATAAATTTGCCTAAAAAAATGAACATGCTGTTTTCACCAACTGCAGACAAAAGACATACCTTTGTGAACAAAAACTGATGTCTTCCATCAACCTATAAAAAGAAACAATGAGGTAAAAATTCACTTTAATTTAAATTCAAAGGTGCATGGTAATGTGTACACACCAATGTCTTTCGTTTGTCTTTTAGATTTTTCAAAATCTTTTGTCTTTCCTTTAGACTTTCACTCGTGATCAGTGTAACACTTTTACTTCGCTACATAAAGAAGAAAAAACTAGAACAGTTAAGAGGTGATGCCAGATATAGTTATAATCACTTATAAGTACTTTTCATGCACCCTCTCATGTTGCTGTATTTAACCTCCCATTAAGTTGCATTAATAGCCTGCATGCAGGCCCATGCAGCAAGGGAAGAATAGTGGGCCTCACTGCAAGAAAGACCGGGTATTTTGTATTTGTCACGTTCACACATGCAGCATTCTGATTGGCGGTTTGCTTTTGGATTCTATAATTAGATCAGTGATTCATCACACGCTTTAGGCCAATGAAAATTGATATCATGTTTCTCGTCCACAATTTTCAATAATTTGGAGCGGGATTTTTTTCATTTTTTTTGTATTTGAATTCTGCTTCAGGGTGGGAAAGGGTATTTTCGTGAGCCGTGAATGGTGAATATTTGTTCGTGTGAAATGCTTGATTTTAGTGTCGTGAAATGTGATTTGTTCTACAGCCGTGAGGCGTGATTGTTGATAAAAATGCTCCGTGAAATGAGAATTAAGGATGCCTGTTTCGTGAACTGTGATTATTATAGTGATTATTATAATAAACATGATACACGATAATCAAATTTATATGATCTCACTCGATTGCACAAGAGTAAAAACTTCAGAGGCCTTTCGCGAGGTTCCTGGCGGTGAGGACAAGGTTCCTGGCGGTGAGGACAAGGTTCCTGGCGGTGAGGACAAGGTTCCTGGCGGTGAGGACAAAGGTTCCTGGCGGTGAGGACAAGGTTCCTGGCGCTGAGGACAAGGTTCCTGGCGCTGAGGACAAGGTTCCTGGCGCTGAGGACAAGGTTCCTGGCGCTGAGGACAAGGTTCCTGGCGGTGAGAACAAGGTTCCTGGCGGTGAGGACAAGGTTCCTGGCGGTGAGGACAAGGTTCCTGGCGGTTAGGACAAGGTTCCTGGCGCTGAGGACAAGGTTCCTGGCGGTGAGAACAAGGTTCCTGGCGGTGAGGACAAGGTTCCTGGCGGTGAGGACAAGGTTCCTGGCGCTGAGGACACGCACTCAAACTTGTAAGTTATGATGTAGTTTTTAACTGACAGGTAGAGAAATGAGAGAACTCAAACCGTAGATACTGTACCATGCATTAAACATAGTCTTAATAAACCTATTATTATTATATTATTTTATGAGAATCTAGTTTTCCGTGAAATTGCTTTTTTAAGACACGTGAATCGTGAAACGGCTTTTTTTTTCGTTGTGAAACGTGATCCATACACCCCCTTTCC